ACAGCACCCCCAGACAAGGCTCAGGTTTCATCATGCCATGGGGATGGGTTTTCTTAGTGGAATCATCTCCCACCAGGTTGAGAACTGGAATCTCAACCCTCTGCAATTTAAGACTGTAGTGTCCCCAAGGGATGTGGAGAACAGACTATGTCCTTCCTTTGTGCAGTTGCCTCTTGAATGCTTGAAAATTGTTCCTGCGGCTTCCCCTCAGTTGGCCTCTCTTCACAGGGATGGCCCTGCTCCTCTGGCCGGCCCTTGCAGGGCTGTGCAGCCCTGTACCCTTCCCTCCCTGGCCAGCAGCACCTGCCCTGCACTGCACCAAGCAGTTGGGAAACTTGCCATGTCTTGCAAAGGAACCACCATGTCAGAGCAGCCTGCTGGAATGTGTGCTGTTGGGAGGATTCTCTCTCATATGCCTGTCCCTCGAGGATCGCCTGGGCTCTGTGCTGACTCTCCTGCAGGAGCTCCTGTCCCAGGCTGTGGTCTCTCACCCACACTGCATGTTACATTGACATTGAATGGGCTTCACCTCTGTTGGCTGCAGCTTGCTCAGCCCTAGGTATGTTATCCAGTTACCCATCTATCTGTCTTCTGTGGTCCTAGAGAGAGGCAGAGGCAGAGGCATTTGCCCTTCTGGGCAATAGTCTTTTATCCCAAGAAGGTCTTTGAACCCTGTCAATACCATTCTGATTCTGGCCTCCAGTGCTCTTTGGTGCCATCTGAAGCTGCTAGTGAGCAGCCTCTATGCCCCATCCCTGAGGTCCCCAGTGCACCGACGATGGGGACTGGCCCTCCCAGGCAGCCTGATGTGTGCCACTGCCTCTGCACCTCCTCTGCTCCTGGCAGAGGTGTCTGAGGCAATGTCATCAGTTCTGCCCACACCAAGGTCTTTCTGCTTTTTGCCTCCCTGATGGCAAAGTCCAGTAGCTGTATGGAAAAGAAAGTGGGCCTGATTTGACAATATTTGACTGTGGCAAATTGCTCCTGTCTCCGCTCCGTGCCTTGGTGGTGGACACATGTGCAAATGTCTCCTCATGCCCGGGCTGGTGAGCATGCCTATGGATCCCCACCATGGTGACCCTGCTCTTGCACCAGCACCATTAGCATCTGTGTGGGCCCTCTGTACTGTCGTGAAGGAACCGCGGGAGACGAGTCTCAAGATATCATGATCAACAAGTCTCGTTACATTTATATACTTTTTAATTAGCTCATACATATTACAAAACTTAAGCTCATCATTGGTTATCTGCTATTAGCGTCACCACAGTTTCGGTCTATTGTTTGCCCCTAGTTTCTGCTCACTTTTTTACATGCCAGGCAGTTTCGGTTCCTGCTCCTACCTCCTGTTTTGCAGAAACTTTCCTTAGGGTCACTTTGACCTTTGAGGCCTCCCTATTTCTCCACAAGCCTGATCATATCATGTCCCATGCTGCGTAGCCAATCTTCGGCTACATTATCCACATGTACCTGCAGCTCTCCTCCCAGCACAGCCATGGGAACAGTGCCACTCCAAGAGCAGACCTAGAGCACACCAGTGACAGGTGGTACAGGACAGGACGGAGTCAGAGCAGCTGCCTGATGTCCCATGCTCCCAAGTGGCAGCAGCTCCCAACAGCCTGCCCTGCCCCACACAGGGGCCCCCCGGCTTCTCAGGGGCTGTTTTTCTTCCTACCCCAGCCTCCCGATGTGCCGGTACCCACAAGGGCAGGACATGCCACCTATCTGATAGGAGCAGTCTCTCTTGGCACTGCGGCTGGTGTCAGAGGGGCTGTGGCATGGTGGTTTCAGGCACAGGGAAGTGCTGGCAGTGGGGCGGGGGGAGCCCCCAGCCAGGCTTCCTGAGCTGCACAGCCACCACTTCCCAGATAAAGGTATCGCCTGGAGGAGCAGCAGCTCCCAGGGCACTGGAAAGAGCAGAGTGTGGCATATGTGGCCCCGGCACAAGGGTTGCAGGATGGTCTGCCTGTGCTGGGGCTGGCAGCTCTCGCTGCTCCCTGCCATTCTGCTCAGCCTCCGCAGTCCACCATCAGTCCCTGAGCCAGTGACATCCCAAGGTAGGTCTTGGGGCTATTTTCTCTCCCAAAGGATGGACCAGAGAGGAGCTGGCATGCCAGATGTGGGCAGTGAGCACCTCACAGCAGCCACAATCTGCAGGATTGGGAAAAAGGCATCCCAGGAGTAGGTGCAGGGAGGGTTCAGGGTGGGCAATGGGGCACCCTTCTCACCTGTGGGACACCCTGAGGTGTTTGGAGTAAAGGAACATCCCTGCTCCTCTGCAGCTTGGCAGACTTGGCAGCTGTCAGACACTCCTTGGGAATGGCAGCCTGTGGCTCCCAGTCTCATGCAGGTAGCAGAGGGGCTCCTTGCTCATCAAAAGTTCTTGGACTTATGATGAGTTTGAGCAAAATTCAGGTTAACATGTGATTGCATAGCTCTGCACTGTGGGTAACATAGTGGCACTGCCAGGCTAATCCCAGAGCTCCTGTGCCAGCCTTGTCATGATCTTACCACCCCACCGAGTATCCTCGGCATAGCTGCTGGCTGGCCCCAGCCTGGCTCTCTGCACCTGGCAGAACCACCTCCTGGCTTTCTCCCATTTCAGGCCTGCCCATTTGTTAAGCCCCTCTTTAGTCCCTTTAACACTTTCTGTAACACCATAAAAAGCATTAACTGAACAAAATCCTACAGATCTCTTGCTTGTCTCTCCAGACCCACCCCAGGTCTCTAGGCAGAGCAGGCTTGGGAGCACATTTTGAGTCACTCCCATAGGGGCAGTGGGAGGAAGGTCAGGGTTGGGCTGATCCTGTCTGTTCACAGCCTCTGTGACATTGCTGCGCCCTGAGCCCAAGGCTGGCTTGGCAGCACTGCCTGGCTGCCCTGGCATGTCTGGGCATGGGCTGCAGAGCTGAGTAGTCACTCTTCAGAGCAAACAGCCTGTCCTCGGCAAAGACAGTCTGGTAGCCTACAGGACCAGTGTGGTCTCATACCAATGCCATGGGTCTCTCTGCCACTGAGTGTCTCAGTGTCCTGCGTCCAGGACACTCCTGGTGCCCAGAGCTGGGAGGTCACAGAGCTGGCATGAGGCTTGGGGGGGAGATAATGGGGTGCAAAAAGGGAGGAACAGGTCGGGGGGCTGTGAGGGAGATGGAACAATGGATGGGAGGACGAAGGCAACACAGGGCAGGGAAAAGAGGAACAGGGCTGAAGGTATCAGGGCAAGAGAATGAACAGGGAGAGCAGAAAGACACCAAGAACATTTGGGAACAGCCACTTATTGTTCACCCAAGCTGCACTCAACTGGCAGCATAGGGAGTGCATAGCAGAGAATGGATGCATTCGGCACATGGAGCAGGGCCAGGCACTGGCAGGGGACTTGTGGGGACTCAGAGCTGGGGGCAGCCCCTGGGCACATGCCAGGAGAAAAAGAAGGAAGAAGAGGGCAGGACCAGGTCCCAGGGCAGAGGCAGTGGGGGAGAAGGGAGTGCTGGAGCAGTGCTGGGGGCAGCAAGACCACCCCTACGCATCATACATCTCCATCTTGGGGCTGTCCCTTTTTCCATGACAACAGAGGCAGGCACCCATATGGTAGCAAAGCCACCAGTGCTTGGGATGGAGATCCTGCTGGATGTGATGCTCCAGTTCATCCATACAACGACAGGGCAGGTGGCTTGCTGAGTGATGCAGAGAAACCCACAGCCCCCCAGCAGTCCCTGCCTGGGACAGCATTTGGGCATCCTCCCCTGCTCAGGACCACACACCCACACACCAGCCCCAAGGCCCTTTCCCTCTCCCTGGGGCACTGCTCCTCCTTATCTCACTTCCGTGCACCTTCCGGCAGGAGCAGGGCAGGGGTGCTTCCCCCTGATCGCTGGGCCCTGAGCCCCCTGCTGACCGCAGGGCTATTTTGGGATGCTTGTTTGTCCTAAAAGACCCCACATACTGAGGAGGGGGGTGCAGTGGGGTGCCCTGACACCAGCCAGGATCCCAGTGCAAGCTAGCAGCCAGCACACACACCATGCCCCCGCACTGTGCCAAGCTGGTCAAGGGCACCTGTGCCACAGCCATGCCCAGTCTGCCCCAGGTGCCTACACAGGCTGGCCTCAGGGGTGAGCTGGTCAGTGATCATTGAGTGGGAGGATGCAGGTGGGATGGAGATGGGTTTGTGTCCAGGGACTCCTTCATACCCACACTGCTCCCAGATGCTGCACTGCTGGCAGGGGTGTCCGAGGACATCCTCTGTTTCTCGCGCTCCTTCGAGGACCTCACCTGCTTCTGGGATGAGAAGGAGGAGACAACTAGCAGCATGTGCCACTTCTACTACTGGTACAGCAGGTAGGAGGTGATGGGGACATAGCCAAGCCTTTCCCTTGCCTACACAGAGAGCAGCAGGGTTGGGGTGCTGCAGCAATCTATGCCATCCCACTGCCTCCCAGCTGCAAGGAGAGATGGTCAAGAGTCTGTGGGAGCTATACAGCAGCCACCACGTTCCCTGCAGCAGGGCCGGGATATCAGCTGTCCCTCAGTCCCATGGGGATGGTGCCCTGCAGTGGATGGTGGCACAGGGAGGGAGCTGCTGACACCGAGGTCTCAGTGCTGTCCCCCACATCCCCTCTCCTCCAGTTTGGCCTGAGGCAGGAGGCATGGGCTGCTGCAGGACCCCACTCTTCATTCCTCAGGGACATGCCCACCGTGTGTGTGGTCTCCACGTGGCGCCGTGGGGCTGGCGGGACGCGGCATGTCTGCGTCTTCCCCAGCCAGGACGTGCGGCTCTTCACCCAGCTCCACCTCCGCGTCCTGGATGCCACCACAAACCAGACCAAGTACTGGCGGGAGCTCAGCGTGGAGGCAGTGGGTGAGTCCCTCTTTCTGGGAAATACCCCACACCAGCAGGACAGGCCCCTGAGGTCCCCTGCCCTTCTGCCTGCCATAGGGGCTTGCAACACCCTGCGTCCTGCATGCTGGGTACAGAGACAGCCTTGGGGGGAACCCCCAGGAGTTGCCCAGACAGGGGATGCCACAGGAGGGTAAACACCATGGCACATTCCTTGCAGGTCTCATTGCACCCCCAGAGAACATCATAGCCTACTGGGCTGGGGCTGCAGGGCAACTCTACGTGTCGTGGCAGCCACCGCTCGTCGACTACCTGAACTTCTTCCTCTACGAGGTGCAGTGCTGCCCTGCCAGCTCCTCAGGGATGTCCTGCAGCACCACATTGAATCCCAGTGGGCAGCACCCCAGGGACCCCTTCATCCAGTCAACCGTCAGCACCCACAAACCCAGGGCTGAGGCAACCTCCGCCTCCCTGGGAGTAGGGCAGGTACATAGCAGGGCCAATGATAGGGAGGGGGATTTGGGGGCTGCAGTCACTCCTCGGCCTGACCCCTCTCCTGCAGGGACTGGTCCAGGCCAACACCTGGGTGATCCTCCATGACCTGCAGCCAGGGCTGAGGTACCACATCCAGGTGCGCAGCAAGCCTGATGGCACCTCCATGGACGGTGTCTGGGGGCCCTGGTCACAGGCGGTGGCAGCGGAGACGCCCCGCTCCTCTGGTGAGCGGACATCCCCTCCTCTGGGGTGCTGGTAGGAACAGCAGGGAAGCACCCACACCTGGAGCAGTGAGGGGCGGGGGTCCTGAGGCAGGTGAGGTGCAGCACCCAAGTTTAGGGGGGCAGGAGGAAGCAGCGCCCTCCCTGCCTTGGCTCTTGCCTGCACAGGAGACATCCGGCTGTGCTGCAGCACCCCTGACCTGCGGCAAGTGCGCTGCAAGTGGAGCTGGGACCCTGCAGAGCCCCACAGCTCCCACCAGCTCTTCTACCGACCACCTCCAAGCAGGGCTGGCACAAGGTAAGGGGCATGTCAGGCACGTGGCACTCAAGCAGGCACATTCCAGGGACCACTGGCCCTACTGTGTCCTCACATCTCATACTGTGCCACCTGCCCATGCTTTGCCCTGTCCTGCCCTACCACCATCGACCTCATACCTCCACACCACCTCTCCTGGCCACCCTGTGCCACCGACTACTTGCAGCGCTAGCTTTCCTGGGCAAGCGCAGGAGGACCTGGGCTGTGGGGATGCCACGGTAGGACTGACTGGCTCCCCACTCCTCTTGCAGACAAGATGCATGGCAGCAGTGCGAGCAGGTGAGCGTGGGAGCACACGGCACCCATGCCTGCACCTTCCAGCCCAGTGCACGCAGTGCCATCTCCATCCTGGTGAACATCACCAGGACCCACACGCTGCCCACGCTCAGCTACTTCAAGGAGCCCTTCTGGCTGCATCAGGCTGGTGAGTCCCAGTGCCACCACGGCCCCTGCCCTTGCCCATGCCTGGCCTGCAGGGGACACAGCGTCCCATGTCTCGTTCCACGGCAGCGACACATCCCCCTCCCAACACCAACAGTGGTCACAGACGCCCCACAGCTCGTGCAGGCAACAGTGTTGCAGGGTCGGCTGAGCCTGCA